TCTTAATTTGAATTTTTATTTTTTCTCTGATCTTCTTGTATGAAGAAAATAATTCAGCTGTAAATTTGTGCATCTCATCAATAAAAAATTAAGCCTTAGGTTAATTGATATGTCCTTGTTTTCCCAAGCTATCAAGCATATATTTGAATTTTCTTTTTCTTCTGATTCAAAAGAAGAACTTTCTTTGTCACTCCATGTGGACACCATTGTCTTCTTCTTTTTCTACTCTTCTACATTGGGCAATCTATCTTGAAATGTCCTACCTTTTATTCCCCAAAATAAATAAATTAATCTTCTTGTGAGAATGTTGAACAACCTTTCTAATAACAACTTTTGTGAATTTCTTAGTGGAGCAAGGCTATGTGATCTTTATCATCATGCTCACTAGAGAGATCATTGGAATTCTCTATTCATAGATTGACTATTTTTGGAATTTTAAATGACTTACTCACCGCTACCTCAAATGTTAATAATGATCATCCAATGTCAATTTTGTAGAATCTTCTAGATGCACCACTCCAAGGGACTAAATAGAGGAGGGCATCTCCTCTCTTCTAGATTAGGCTTTGAGTTCCAACACTCAATGTACAGCATTGCTATGATTCTTAGAGCTCAACTCCAAATCTTCTCAAGGCTAAAATCTTTCTAATTTCATGTTTGAAGCTTCACAATATGGATCCCCTTTGTGCACTTGCTTGTTTCAGATTCTTCACCCCCTTAATATTTTTTTTTCATTGATCCTTAACATTTTTAGTTGAGGAGAGTGTTCCATTATACACTCCTGATTTTTTCCTTTTTTTGGGATTTTTGAATGGCTCTTTAATGATCTAAAATCCATCATTACATAGGAACTAGTTCCCCAATAGAGTTATTTTTTAATCATTTTTTTGTCATGCCTAATTGTTATCTCCTTCTTTCTCCTCATATGTTTACTTTTTGTGTCAATAATAGATTAATGCATTGATAAGTTGTGTAGATAATATTTTATAATTTTTTTTAAATCATTTGAAGTTTATCATATGACATTTCCACAGGTCACCAGAGAATTAGCTTTATTTCGTAATTTCAAATTATTATCCCTTCATCTTGATTTTAGATAATTTTATAGCTTCCTCAATTGCAATCATTACAATCATCAAGATGTTTAATTTTAATTCTACAATCATAATCTTTATCAAGCTATTCTTCTATATACTATGCTCATCTTTAAAACATGTAATGCTCCTAAAGTGAACATGCCCTACTTTACTTAATTTGGGCTTTAACGCATTTTGGACCTTCAAACTTTTCTAATCCACAATTTAACATTTTTGTGCCACCAATGCACCAATTGCACTCTACTTATTTCTTAGAGTGGTGCTCTAGATTATAAGTCATATAGAAAAATTATCAAAATCTCTCAAGCATTAAAAAAAAATCACATAAATGTTCATATTAAAGTTTGTAGTCATTGACAAAAGTTTTTTATGATTGTTTTCTTCTATTATTCGATTTTTAGTAATGTAGATGACAGACTGTTAACGATATAGTTCGTGACAATAGACAAGTTGAGAACAGTCCAAAGCAATTAGGGGTGGCAAAGGTTATCATATATGCCATATAGCATCTTCCAAACATTTGTAGGATAGATTTGGGAGAATGTACATAGATGGGTGCATGCAAAAGTGTTGTGCACTCTTGCGTGCTTCATTTCCATTTAGACGCTTGCTTATTAAAAGCAATAACCCACCCCTCCCAGCATTTGGCATGCCAGCATTTTTCTCCCTTGAGAATAACAAATTTGCTTCCCGAAGTCTCAAAACAAAACTGTCTCCAGAGATTTATACCACACAAAATGATGATCAAGTTTAGTCTACTTAATGACGACCTGGAAGATTGTATTGACTATGATGTCCACGGGGTTAAAATTGTTGTATAGTACGGGCGGGAGGATTAGAATATCCCGTGGATGAACGGCCTCCTAGCATCTTATGTGTGTGAAAGAGAGAGAAAAGAGAGACTGAAACCAAGTGGAGTGAGTGCTGACTCACGCCCATTGCCTTACAGAGGTTCCGGTGGCGAGAACCACATAAAAATGGAAACATCTACCAACTGGAGTCGTGTCGACACCAGCTGCCCCGGTGCTTTCATTTTACTTGTTGTACAGGTACACAACGCTGAAGAGAAAGAACCCAGCCATCTGCAAGGCAAGAGGAGGCTTTCTTTAGAGGTATCTCCAATTTAACAAGCTCATCCAGAACATTAACACCTAAGCAGTGCACTCACCGTAGAGAATGATCCCCCATAGTAGGGGTAAGCAGCTGGTATGAACCTCTCATACTCGTTGTGCCTGAACGGACGGACGGGGATCTGCAACTCAAAGGGTAAGGTGCGTCAGCTGCAGAGAAACTCTATCCAAGACGCTCTGGAGGAATAGGCGTGTAGGGTGGGTTGCCATACCTGCTTTGAGAGAGATAGGGTGCTGTATCCCAGCCTTTGGTACTCCAGCTTGAACTGGAAGACCCCATAGACGTCAGGAACCTTGAATGATGCCGAGTAAAGCCCCTGCAAGGGAGAAGAGGGTGGGTCGGACGTTTGGTCACAGGGTGGGTTTTATCTTCCAATACGTGCGACTTCCAGATGACCGGTAGGTGCTTTTCTGATTGTACCTTCTGATCATTCGATAGGGTCTTCAAGATGTAGGGACTCATCATGTAGAACTGGACCTGAACATCATCAGCAACATAGGGCTTCCAGCTCGTTCCAGACCACTCGTAAATCTCAACTGAGTACTCCTTCAACCAGAAGAGAAGAAGTGTGAGAGAGAAATTGCCGCCTCCATCGCATCACCCTCTCGATCACTGCGTGAGATCTACAACAGTTTCTCTGGAGAAATTAAAAATTCGAGAGTAATTACCAGATCGTCTTTGATTCGGTACATTGGGGGCTCTGCAACTTCGCCAACTTTATGATGCCTGACATTGATGGCCTGGTGAGAACATATGATACTTTAAGCCTAGAATGTCGCAATAAAACTGCCCACATTATTTGCAGTGTTTTTCCAGGTTTCCAGTAGGAAAATTGTCTACAACTGCGTATCAACTAATTTTTTCATGGCAGCTAACGACGTAAAATGCCACTAAGAAGGTGGTAGAGAAATCCGCATATTCAACGGTGTGGAGGAAATAGAGTTGTCTTGCCTTGAGGTGGCCCCTTTCGTGGAAAACCCATTTGCTGATTTCAACTGCAAATTGCTCATTGCCGGATTTTTCATGCCTGAAAACATTCCGCAGGAAAATTAATCTCGATGGATATCAGGTTTATCTTACAATCAACTGACAGATCAGAAGGAGAGAAACTACAAGCTGGGCAAGAAATGTTCCACTCCATCATAAATTCAGCACAATCTGGAACATGACGTTGTTGCCCAAGGCATTATAAACATATTTTTGAAATCAACCAACTCCAATCCAAATCCACTGATTTGGGCTATTATTGGTTGCATCCCCATATCCAAACACAAATCCCAAGGAGAAAACTTTATACTTTGAGGGGAGATGGCGAGTTTCAACTGCCACCAAGAAATTCAATACCCTTCCAAGAGAAGGGAAGGTCATTTCTGACAATTGACGTCATGAGAGCAAAGAGGAAACAAGATCAATTGCAGAACTTCATTGATTAACTTCCATAGAAACGTGTGCGTAATAATGAATTATCCAAAGGCATCACGCATAAAGGAAAAGTCACCAGATTAAATCAAGGTACGACAAGATTTTCAATGGACAGTAGGAAAGATATTGAGCAAACCACTTTGAAAAAAGCAACTGGAATTGAATAAGTGATGAAGATTCACTTACTTTGTTAAACTCTTGAACTTCTCCACACCAGACTTGAAAAACCTGATTACAGTGTTTCGCACATTTATAAGTGGATTGGTGATTTTATGGAAACTCAATAGAAAATGAAAGAAGAGAATACCGATCACTAAACAGGTCCAGAGAACCACAAATTAATATTCGAGCATTGTTCCTCGCCTGTGGAATAAAGGTAGCACATCAAATTATCAATGATCTAAAATCTTTAAACAGGCAAGATCTATACAGAGGGTAAATGTCAGATGAAAACGCCATTGATATTAGCGAATATAAAGTTATATCTTTGTATCAGTTTTAGATATGTAAGTCAACGTCAAATGAAGGAAATGCTGGATTCAAGCAAAATGACTATTCAAATAAGAAACATAATGCAGCCTGACAACGACAGTGGATTGACAGTGCTTCTGTCACTAGTTATTGCCACTCACAAAATCATTTGAGCATAACCCAACCAAACTTTTCTGACAACAAGAAAAGAAATGCATTCAACTAAATACCAACAGTTTAAATCAGAGTAATCTTCTAACCAACAACCATTTACCGAGGCAAAAAAATCCACTGTCGTAACCCTTAATGCATTCTGAACAGAAAGTAGATGAATTATTTTTCCCTTCTATATACTAGAAGAATATATTAAGATTAGAAACTTTGACAAATTCTGGATTCTAGATAAGATCTGTTGGTCCGAGATTAGTCAAGTAAGCTCTGGGAGGATCAAATTATCTAAAATTTTTACTCATGCATTTCCATTGTTCAAATATAGGAGTATGACTGCGATTCAGTAAAATCTATAAACAACCTCATTGAATTTTCCAAAACACGTGATCTAAACTGTAAAGGAAATAAGTCAGCAACTGGCATAAACTGGAAAATAGAACTATCTAAAAGAGGCACTGGTACTTTCATTTGAACTGAGTTAACTTATGGCATGGTTGCAACGGTGCACCACTTCGAAGTTCTATTATCATGTCTACAGCAACAGAAGTGCTAACAAATGATAGACGATCCTAATTACGAAAACCAAGCGAGACACGAACCTTTATCAATGACTACATGAAGGCCCAGCAATGACTACAGAAATAAAGTAACCCAACTAACACGTATGAAAGACTCTTTCCAAAATAAATCCGGAGATCCGAAAAGTTTCTATGGTGATTTAAAAAATGATAAAAAAAGATTATTCCACAAAAGAACTGAAAGGAAGCCCAATACTACCTGCACAACAGAAACTAACGAAATTGCAGATCCAGTAAGAGATGGGGCCTTTGACAGCCTAGTCTTTGGATTTGCAGAATATGCTGAAGGAGAGGCAGATAGGACTTTCACAACCTGTGAAATAAACATATTAAACCATGAGAGGGTGAAACGAATGCAGCCTACTGAGCTAACGAATAAAATAGGACAAATTCGATTGCATCTAAAAGTCCTTCATGTTTGAAAAATGAAACAAACATAAAAATAGAAAATAGAAGATCTCACCATAGTATTGGTAGGATTCAAGGAATGGCCAATCCCACGAAAAAGCACAGGGGCCTGCATGATTTATTTTACAGTGAGATCAGTGGCTGAATAAGAAACAAAACAACAGAGTAAACAAAAGTTGATAGAACGCAAGCAATAAAAAAATATAAAATTATTTACTTCAGGCATGTCATGACAATTATGGGGGCAAGTTTACGGAAACACTTTTTCTTTTAATCTGTAATAAATACTGCTTTCAATGAGTAGGTTAATGACGGAACAGAAAAGAGAAGTAGAATTTTTCCACCACATTAACCCAACACAAAAGCCAAAACATCCTATTGAAAAGTAGCATAACTTTTTTTGGCTTGAACTTGGTCATGGTTCACAAGATTGACCAGGCTCCAACCAGCTGAAAAGTTGAATTGTATTTTCCTTTGTGCATGGCATGGTACATATTTATTAAGAGTTGTTCATGTAAAATTCATCAGATACTGTTTAAATACAGGATTTCTGTGCTTGAGCTAAACAAGTCTCTCCAAAATATTTCCAATTATCTCATGAGATGGGTTATAGATTTCAGTTTTTCCCAAAACTGTCTAGTTTGAACCTGCTCCACATATATACGATTACCACCAGTGAGAATAATGCTACGCTTGAAAGGGCACTGCATCATCAATTTGGAGAGAACATTATACAAGTAATTTTAACGTAGTACAGTTGGAAGACACGTTCTGTAAGAACAAGATGATGGCTTGCTTTTAACCTCTATTTCACTCATCTTTGTTATTCACTATAAGTGAATAAAGAATAAATATTGAGAACAACTGAACATAGTGCAATCAGGTTCCTATTGTAAGCATATTGTAATCTTTGGTTTAAATATAGAAGCAAAGCAGTTGGTGCAATTAAAAGGAGATAAAAATAAATAATTCAATAATACTAAACAGAGGAGTTCATTGGTTGATTAAAATTTCATAGGTCGAATAGGATGACTCGGAAAACATCTAAAAAACGATTATCCAATCTATAATCAACTGAGGAATGTATAAAAGAATTGTCCACTCTATAAACAACTGAAGATATCGACAATCAGCTGATCATCATGTGAATAACAATGATTCATCTTCATACGAATATGTAAAAGCCCCTTTAACATACGATGAAAGGATGACTTTAGGGATTACTGACTTTCGTTTGGTGTGAAGAGTACGACATATTCACTAATCTAAAAATGTTGAAGACTAGGGATTTATCAACATAGAATTGAAGCCGTGACACATGTATTATGTAAGGCAGATGGTTGATGATTAGTTTGTAGTTAACTCCACCACTCTCAACTATGTTCCAGGGAGCATCTTTACATCCAGATAAAATTACTTTCAGCTTTGAGATGAAATTATTTTTCTACATTTCCGTCTTCTTTACATCAAGATGCGGAGCATTTTTCTCCACACAGAACATGATGACACCTAAAGTGTTGGATATAGGGCTCCATGAACCAAATGGTTCAACTCGTATTCAGCTACCTCCAATTATACGTAAGAAAACTCGGAGATTTCCAAACTGGAAGGCCAAAGACAACATAGAACCCTAATGAAGCTCAAAAAGTCGACCAATTTTCGACATTAATGGGGATAACAAGAAGAATGGTTTCCTTTTTTCACTTTTGGACCTAACTATTTTCTTCAACACCTTTGTAGTTAATTTTTTTGCCCCTTTCTTATCAAGGACAACTATCACTAGGATAGTCTACTTCCTA